TGGGCACAATCCGGCGGACGGTCGAGAAGATACCCGGATCGCCGCATTGGATCGAGCCGAAGCCGTCGGGATCGAGAAAGTCTCGCTGCATGTCGATGATGAGGAGGGCGGTGCTGGCTGGGGGGAACCTGAAGGCGTATGGCCGGGCGTTGGGTAGGGTGATGTGAGCCATATCGATGCTAATATTATTATCAATTGCTGAGCAGAGAACAGCAGGCTTCATTCATGATTCATTCACTCTGACGAAATCGAAAGAAGAATTTATTCTCTGGCAAATTCCATGGTCTGCATTTCGATAATAGACCGTCTTGGCCGATCCTGCGATAGAGCAAATAGATAAGAGATTAGGCTAAGGACAAGCTGCATCCCGGTCGCTGGCAATGATATGATAACGACAACACCATGATAGGACCGGCCAATCGAGTCTTCTAAATTCCCGGCCATCTCTTCCTGTCGCCAATTCCTGCAGATACCCTCATGTCGATCATGAAGAATGTTGACGAGCTGCTGGTGTCGGAGCCACACAGATAAGCCAGATAAGAGGATGGATTCTCTCCAGATATACTCCCCATTTTCTGCAGACAAATGCGGAGAAGAAGTTCGTGTGGATCCCTTATCATGAAGATGGATTCCGGAAAAGGTCTATTAAAGAGGGCCATCTCATGGAGATCGACGACAGAGCAGGATCATCTTCCCTCTTGAACCAGCCAGCTCGGCCGTAACAATGGCTGAATACGTCCGGAAACAAGTGCGGTCATTCCAACAAACAGTCAAGGACAAGAGGAAGCTCTCTGGATGGATCATCCCCCGGCAGCAGTCCTCCTTTGCCGATGAAGGAACATGGTGGGCATCATCTCCTCTCCTCAACGACTCCAGCTCACGCAAGCAGGACCAACATCGACATGGACGTGACGCCTCTCGAACGCCAGACCTGGGGTCCCTGGACCATGTTCGGCTTCTGGTTCTCGGACGCGCTGAATGCGCAGGGATGGGAAGCTCCAGCCGCCATACTCGCCGTGGGTCTGACTTGGTAGGTGGCCTGCTGTTGCGAAGATCCCAAACTGACATCAGCAGGCGTGAAGCCGTCTACTGCATCATTCTGGGCAATCTGGTTACTACTATTCCGCTCGTGCTGAACGGCGCTGTCGGGGCTCGTCTACATATCCCCTTCCCCGTCGCCATGCGCTCCTCGTTTGGCTGGTACTTCTCGCGCTTTGCTGTCGTCACTCGAATGATCACTGCCCTCTTCTGGCATGCCATTCAGACCTACACCGGCTCGACGGCCATCACCCAGTGCATCCGCGCCATCTGGCCGTCCTATCTCGACCTGCCCAACCATCTCCCTTCCTCGGCGGGCATCACGAGCCAGCAGCTCCTCAGCCATTTCATCTTCTGGTCCATCCAGTTCCCGTTCCTCCTGACCCCTCCGCACAAGCTGAAATGGTTCTTCGTCTTCAAGGCCGTCGTGGTGCTCGTCTCGTCCGTCGCCGTCGTCATCGCCATGACCCTGGAGGCCGGAGGCACGGGCGACATCTGGCGCCAGGAGGACGCCGTCACCGGTGAAACACGCAGCTGGCTGATCCTGTCGAGCATGTCCAGCATCACGGGGTCCTGGGCGACGATGGCGACCAACATACCGGACTTCACCCGCTACCTCGACCGCCCGAACGGCGTCTACTGGCAGGTCGTCTTCCTGCCGGCCATTCAGATTGTGTTGGGTTTGTTCGGAATCATCGCCACCTCCGCTGCTAAGGTCGTCTATGGGCGGTACATCTGGGATCCGGTGGCGCTGGCAGGGGAATGGCAAGGACCCAGCGGACGAGCAGGCGCCTTCTTTGTCGGATTCACGTGGTGCGTCGCGCAGATTGGGACCAACTTATCAGCGAACGTGATCTCGTGCGCAAACGACCTGACGAGTCTCTTCCCAAAATACATCAACATCCGGCGGGGGGTCGTGCTCACCACTGTGACAGCGGCCTGGATCATGGTGCCCTGGAAGATTGTTTCCTCCGCGTCGTCCCTCCTGACCTTCATGTCCGGGCTGGGCATCTTCCTCGCCCCGATTTCCGCCATCCTGGGTGCTGACTTCTGGGTCGTCAAGCGCCGACGCGTCGACGTGCCAGCCTTGTACCGTGCCCATGGCGGATATCGCTACAACCACGCGGGCACCAACTGGCGCGCTGTTGTCGCCTTCCTCGTCTCCGTGGTGCCCAACATCCCCGGGATGGCGGCCACGGTCAACCCGTCGCTGACCGGCAAGGTCCGGGGTGCCGTTAAGATCTACAGCATCTTCTACCTCTGGGGGTTTTCGTCGGCTTTTGCGGCGTATTGTCTGCTCAGTGTCGTTTTTCCGGCCAGAGAGACGCTCGTCCGGGAGACAGTGTCGGGTGACGCTGAAGTTTTCCCTCAGGAGATGTCGGACGAGTCTCGAAGTTTGTCTACTAGGGACCCGGAGAAGAAGGCTGACACTTCGATTGGTGTGGATTCCGTTTGATGAATGTTTAAGCTGGTCATACTCATGTACATACATACATGCTATACATGTGCCCATTTCTTGATTTCCTTTTATCTTCATGGGAGGCTTCTTCATAGCAAGTTGAATTGAGCTTTCTCACTCTTATTGCAGAAGCTCTGGACAATTCAGGATTCATTGACTGCTCGTATCATTTTGTCTCTTATTTTATTCTATTTCCCCTATTTCTGCCTTTTTACTTCTGTTCCTACCGGGAATTCACTGACGGATTGGATGTCTCTTTACAGAAATACAAACTCGACAATGGTGCTACCAAGCCACTGGAAATACTTTTCTTTCTTATGTTTTGAATTGGATAATGATCCCTCTCTTTCACGCTTCGCTCTAGATTTCATCTGCGTCTGTCTCTGCTCGACCTCTCTCAACCGTGGCTTCAATCTTATCCGTCATCAGATGCTTGACGTCCTTCAGACAGGCCACAGCGGCCATGGCGACCACGACCAGCGGGATGAGACAGGCCCAAGCGCGATGATAAGCGTGGGCATAAGCCCCCTGACTAGCCGTCTGCGCGCTGGCGACAATCGTCGCGTTGGCGCCAGGCACATTATCCACGACAGATTCATGGCCCTGCTGGAGCGCCTGCAGCAGGGAAGGAACAGAGCTCGCTGGCAGGCCGGCCGCGAGGGCCGCCTGGCTGACTTTCTGCGTCCACCGCGGGTATAGCGACCCCTGGATGATGGCGTTTTCAACGGCAGAGCCGAATGCGCCGCCAATCGCGCGGCCGGAGAAGGCGAGCCCTGTCGCGGTGGAGAGATGCGAATGAGGCGCCGTGAATTGGATCGTGGCTACGATGAGGGCCAGTGAGCCGGAGATGCCCACTCCGAGAAGGATGTTGAAGCCGATCTGGGCGTCTTTCATTGCTGGTGTGATGAAGGAATAGCAGATGGTTCTAAATAAGCATAATAAGTGAGTGCATCAATCATTTTCGTTGTTTACTTGTCTGGCACTCACCCAGCAAGAAAAATGAATAGAGTGATCAAAAGCGGCCATTTCAGATCCTTGTACTTGGTGGCATATAACCTGACAGCAAAAATCAGCCCATCAATTCCATGCAGGAGAGGCAGTCATTTGGTATATACGTGATGGGAATCGACACCGCGGGTGCTGTGATTGTGCACGACAACTGCCGCAGCGCGATGATCCACGCGCTGTTCGAAAAGCCCAGGTGGAGATTGACCTGCTGGACGATGGTGTTGATGGGGCTGAAATATATCCATCCCTCGACGGCGAAGGCGAAGATGGCGAGGGCAAAGTTGGGGGAGCCCTGGAAGAGGACGTGAGTCACCAGGCCGTCGTTGCGGCCTTTCCATTCTACAAAAGTCAGCATGACCGTGCCTCTTCCTCTGGAGTGTGATGGTACTTACCATACACGCCAAACAGAATGAACAACACAAGGCCAACGCTGAGCAGGGCCGCCACATGGGCGTCAGACCAGGCGTACGTATTGCCGGCCCAGTTGAGCGCCAGGAGGATCAGCGTGGCACCCGCAACAAAGATCGCCGAGCCGATGGGGTCGCAGGCCCAGAGGTATTCTCTGAACGACATCTTCGTGTAGTCTGATTTTCGACCCGGGTGGTAGAACAGCAACAGGCCCAGCGACGCAGTGAGATGCAGGCCTGCCTCGACCCAGAAGAGGTATCGCCATCCACCGCGGCCGGTGCCTGTGAGGCCGCCTGCGAGGAGCCCTCCGGTTCTAATCAGTCAGCATATATCTATCCATAAATAGGGATCGATTCCAAACCAGGTGAATTTTTTTTTCTTACATCGTCCCCGTCGCGCCGGAAACATACGAAATCCCATTCGCCAACGCGCGATACTTCATCGGAAGCACCTCGCTAGGGATCGACTGCGCGATGGCGATCGTCGACAGGGCAAACCCATTCAGGATGCCTCCGCCGATGAGCATCGCCATAGACGACGCTTTGGCGGAGGTGATGGCCCCCGCGGCCGCAATCAAGGGCGGGATGGCAGCTAGGTATTTTCTGTCGAGGACATCGCTCAGCCGGCCGATGATGGGCGACAGGACGCATTGCATGAGGAGGGGTCCTTCTATTAACGCATATCAGCCGAAATTTACTTACTACTTAATAAGTAGGTGCAGACAAGTACTTACGAATCACCCATCCCGAAACCGCCACATCGCCCAGATCGCGCACGATGAACGCTATCACCGACCCGGCGGCCGTCACTACGAAGACCTGCGCCAGCAGCGCGAAACCAGCGACCAGCACAACGATCCACGACCGCCAGGTGAGACGGATCCTGTCGTCGAGATCGTCGACGTCGTTGCTGGCAGCAGCAGCAGCAGTCCTGTTTGCGTTTGCGGCGGTCAGTTCAAGGATCTCCCCGATTTGGTTATCTGTTGTTGTCGTCGATGTCGACGTCGGCGACACGAGGGTGTCGGCGGAGTACTGCTGGCCGCAGCCTTGCGTCGTGATCTTTTCTTCATTTTGAGTGATGATGGGGTGTTTTTCTCCTTTCATGATGATGTCTTCTTCTGGCAGGATATTTCCCAGAAAGGAAATTTTGTCAGATAATTTGTTTTGTCGGATGTATATTAAGTAGGGTCAGAAGCTAATACAGTAAGTAAGTAAGGACTTTACCATTTATTCTTTCATCCACATAGATCGTAAGATGAGAAAGAAAAAGTGGTCGTATTCGTAAAGATAGTTAACTGTGTATGTATGTATGTCCAAGGGGAAGAAGGCGAGGGAGGACAGATGATGAGGGGAGGGATCGGAGAGATCGGCAGGACAGGACAGAGCAGACAGACAGTACAGAGGGAGTACAGAGTACGGAGTACAACAGAGGAATAATATCAGTCAGATCTGAAGACTTGACCGATTGAACTTACTTGTGTGACCACTGACGCTCAGATCTATTGTTACAGTATGACAGACTCCAACTCCAGCATGATAAGGCGTGGCGGGGTGGTTGGACAACCGTGTGGTATGTTGCATGTGATTGGGATGCATGTGCTGGTATGTGTACAGTCTGCATACAGGATGAACAGACTGTTCTGATGCAGAGAGGGAAGAGTACAGAGTGTATATATGCACGTGTATAGATGTAACCTTATACAGTACACCTGTCTATCTGCCTATTAATAAATAGTCTGTACATTGCGCAGAGCATAGATTTAGAGATACATATGTATGCAGTTCTATAGCAAGTAAAAAACTGCATGGTGATCCATCCATACATACTGCGCACTGGCTGGTAGTATTATGCAAAAGGGTACATGTATGTACAGTACCTACCTAGTATGTACTGCACATTATGTAGTCAATTACCTGCACAACCTTACTGAGTAAGGTCCTGAATAAAAGCAATGCTACCCAGTGAGTTGTTACCAGTGGTTTGGTTTGGTTTGGCTCATCATCCCTTGCATTGTGAGGACAAGAATGTGGATGGCTGGCCATTGTGGGTATGTGTGTTCTTTTGACAGAACCTATCTAGGGAAAGTTCTTGTCAACGCAGTTATCTAGCCAGTCAAGTAATTTAACCTCAAGTCCATGTGGCAGATAATGACAGTAGCTGATGATGTTGTCTTGGAACTAAGATATACTTTGTGCAGTATGTGCCGACATACCTTCTGCACAGAGAGATCTTCATCCCTAGCAGCTAGCCAGCTAGCTAGCTAGGTCAGTTGTATTGCAATTGTAATTCTTCATCCAGGCTGCATTAAACTGCGCATCATACTTATAATCCAGTAGTTACTTGTTCTCCTTGCATTATTACCTACCTGACTTATATATATGTGCTTGTTTGTCAGCTTTTTGTCAAGGTTAAAGCGAGCATTAATGTCATTATACGGAATAACAGGACTTGACCCCCAGAGATCTTTTTCTATTTTCGGGGTATATACTGTACATGCACATGTACATTGTACACTGTACAGTACATATATGCATTGTAATGTAACACTATTAATCGTGTACTCTGTCCTCCTGTACCACCTACCCACCTACCTACCACGTTCATCTCTTTTCCACGCTTTCCCCCCCAATTCTGCACAGTGGCGTGGCTTCCACGGCATATCTCGGGGAGTTTGAATGAGCTGTACTGTGTGACATGGAGAACAGGCCTTACTTAGTAGGTAAGGTATCATATATCCTATCCATTACTTAGAATGCAATTAAATAAATACTTCATAGTTGTGTATGTAGTTGATTGTGATTTAGGCTATAGTTAGGAAGATAAGATAAGGTGTGTGTAAGTAGATAATGCAGTAGTTTGTATTTAATTTTTACTACTGGTTGTGAGCAAGCAGGTCTGTGGCTGGCGTTGATTGATTAATTGAGTAATTTAGCTGGTTGTGGCTGGAAATTATTCTCAGAGGACAACGAATAACTTTATCTCTGATCACACAAGCAGTGAGCATAATAGAATAATGAATGGATGAAAAAGTAACAATTTCAACTGAGCAAAAGGAAAGGAATTGATTTTTTTGTCCTTTCTTTACGGCTTAGAATGATATACAGATCCAAGATCGTCCAAAAGGTCCTCTAACTACCTGTTCAGGTAGGTATTCTTTTTAAAGCTCTCTGCCCATAACCACTACCACCGCACGGCATCTAACAATTACTAATAAATACTAGAGGAAAACTTTCCTCAAGAGGACCTTCGTGGGAAAAAAAAAAGAGCTCTACTACTCGCAGGTAAGCTTGCTAGCTTCCAAGGTTATCTAGTTCAGGTACCTTGTGGGCAGTACCTAAAATCCGACTCTGCTGCGACTAGCCAATGATTTCTCTGCCAATTTAATCTGCGGAGACGGTATCAGCGTGCTTGTTCATTGATTGATTATTGATTGGTGTTAATATTTCCTTCTTTGTGTATTGTCTAGGGAGGTATATGTATCTGAAGTGGTTCTGCGAACCTTGGGGGTGACTGATTCGACAGTGAGCAGGTGATTTATTTTATTTCTTTTTAAGCGAGATTGATATTGTCTGGGTATTTATTTAAACCCTTGTTGTCGAAGATCTCTGCTCGACTTTCGTTCGCTCCCGATTTTTATTTACTGCCTCTCTTTTTATTCCGGGATTGAGAGTACTCCGTACTAACTGGCGACTGACACAATGATATCTCGCAACGATGAGATCGAAACGAAATCCTCTCCTGATATAAGGAGGCTTCCTGTAACACTCCTTTCGGGGTTTCTAGTACGTTGCCAGCATGAAGTCCCTGCTGTGTAGTGAATTCGACTCACTTGACGTTAGGGCAGCGGAAAAACAACCCTTCTGGAACACATCCTAAGATCGCCAGACCATGGCCTCAAGATCGCAGTCATCGTCAATGACATGAGCACGTTCGTCACCACCGGTTACCCCCCTCAATCGATCGTCTTGCTGATCCCAGCAGACTCAACATCGACGCAGCCCTGATCACGCACCACAAGGTCTCCCAGACAAAGGAGAAACTCATCCAGCTCCAGAATGGCTGCATCTGCTGCACCCTGCGCGGCGACCTGCTGTCGGAGCTGGCCCGTCTGGCACGGTCCCAGGAAGTCGAATACGTCGTCATCGAAAGCACCGGCATCAGCGAGCCGATGCAAGTCGCGGAGACGTTTACGGCCGAGTTCAGTGCGGCCATGATGGAAGTGGAGGCGGACAGCATGGATACGGATGAAGAGAGCAGGAAGATCCTTGCTGAGGTGTGAGTAGCTGCTTCCTTCCCTATCATTATTCTTCTATGCTAATAAGTTAGATCCGAGATGGGCGGTCTGCACATGTTAGCCAGACTAGATACGACCGTCACCGTCATTGATGCCTTCAACCTCTTCGCCAACTTCGACACCACCGAATTCCTGTCCGATCGCTACGGCTCGCAGGAGATCACGCCCGACGACGAGCGGACCATCTCCGACCTGATGGTCGACCAGATCGAGTTTGCGGACGTCCTGATCATCAACAAGATCGAAACGGTAGACGAGACGGTCCGGGTGCGAATCAGGAAGCTGATCAAGCTGCTGAATCCTGACGCCAAAGTCATCGAGACCAGCTACTCCAAGGTCGACGTCAAGGAGATCGTCCAGACGAACCGGTTCAATTTCCTCAAGGCTGCGTCTGGGGCAGGCTGGCTGAGGAGCTTGCACGAGATGACCGTTCGGGAAACTGGGGCAGGCAAGAGAGTGGCGCCGATGCCGGAGACCCTAGAGTAGGTCAACATATATACATGTACATAGGTGGTGTACTTCTACTAACTGTTCCAGGTACGGCATCAACAACTTTGTGTATAGGGCCCGTCGGCCATTCCACCCGCGACGGTTGTTCGCCCTCTTGCATGACAAATTCATTTTGCTTCAAAATAGAGAGCAGGATGAAGAGAATGAAGAAGGAGAAGAAGGAGAAGGAGAAGATGATACAGAAACTCACAAGGAAGACGACATGGAAAGCATCGAGGACTTCGAACAACCGGAACCAGCTACCATCCTAGCCAACAAACGAGCCCACCCGGCCTTCGGGCCCGTCCTCCGCTCCAAAGGATTCTTCTGGCTCGCCACGCGACCCCTGCAATTCGGTGAGTGGAGTCAAGCCGGCGGCATGCTGACCGTCGGATGCGGAGGCCCCTGGTTCGCTGAGGTCCCTCGCGAGATGTGGCCTGAGGACAAGGACGTGTACGAATCGATTGAAAGGGATTTCCGCGAGCCCTGGGGGGACCGTCGACAGGAGATCGTGTTCATCGGGGAAGGGATCGATATCGAGAAGATCACGAGTGCGCTGGACGAATGCCTTCTCGATGACGAGGACATGGCGCGATGGGAGGAGGTGATGAAGGACGAGAAAACTTCCAGCCAGGAGAAGGCGGAAATTCTTGGACGGATGTGGGAAGATGGATGGGAGGGATGGCCTGCTTTGGAGATTGAAGAGGTAGAAGAAGATGGCATGGATTTGGACAGAGAAAATTGGCAGAAGAAGCATCGCATTAGCGAGCATCTTGGACATGGACATGCACATGCACATGGACATCGGCATGACCATGTCAAGAGTCTGAAAAAAGGCAGTGGCCGTGTAGCTATAACCACCACACAGGACAGTACAGTGTCACACCGTTGAAATTGGCAAGCAGCTCACTGCTGCTGGTTGAAAGGATGAGGACTGGGGGTTAGCTTTGGCATTAAAGGGTTATATACCAGCAGAAGCGGCAGTTAATTCAACAAAGCAGCACGAATATACTGTGGATATTGATATGGTTGTAATCTAAAGGCGCTCCAAGGTTCCATGCTTCAATACCTGGTCTACATCACCCACTACCAGGTATAGCTGCCTATTTATACAGCTGATATGCAGAAATATCATTGAAAGATGCCTTCAACTGATTTTACAATCTCCCTCGTCCAGTGTAGTGCATCACTCATTCTCTCTCTCCTTTTTTTCCCCCCAAGCGTGCAAATCCTTTATAACAGTCATTGGAAGTGTCACTTAGTCGTCGAAATAAGACGGGCGTCGAGTTGCTGACTAATCAGATAATGCGGAGTACTATGTCATGTGACTTGTCAAGCCGTTGCTCACGTGTTGCGTCATTGCCAGCTTCATATGCATCTCCATCGCCGCAGGTTTGGAGTAGTACATTACTCAGAGAAGCAATAAATATTCTCTGTAAAGAGCCACAAAGCTTTTTGCAAGCTATTGCGCATACATTCACCTGGTCACGTGAAAGACCAGCCAGACTGTACTGTATGTGCGATGGCCCCAATCCGACGATATCTCCGGATCAGCAAGTACTCTGTTCTCGAATGCCGGATCTACCTCGAAAATCCGGCTGATACGCGATGGCTCCTGGACTCTCGAGATCCCGTCCTCCCGCGTATCTTCGCGGCGATCAAGCCGCTCGTTTTGCCCAAGCTTCGCGAAGAGAACGAAAGGGCGATGGCCAAGAAGAAAAGCAACCCTGTGAAGGACGTCATCGTTGAAGGTGTGATCTCTCCGTATGGCTTAATCGTGGCGATTGTTGACGTGTTCGTTCTCTTGCAGATGAGTTTGAGGTCGCTATATTCCTACGAGAGTCCGGCACGCGCCATTCGCTTCTCACACGGCATAAGACGTTTGGGGAGCCTAGGAGGATAGAAAGCAATTCGAACAAGCTCACAGGAGCGGATGCTTCTGCTGATGTTGCCAATCACAATATTGAATCCGGGCCTAGTATTATGGTCGAGAGTGACGAGGAGCCTCAGATCGACTTGTCAAGTATCCCTGAAGCAACCGCCGACACGTCCAGTGACCACTCAAAGAGACGGCGGCAATCAGACGGTCCAGATGCTGCGTCGAAGCGCAGCAAGACAGAAGAAAACATCCCCGAAGACGACGATAAGAAGCTGAAGCTGGCTACGAGTTATGAGGGTTTCAGCATCTGGGGCTGGGTACTGTGTCTGCTCGTAACTCGCCGGGGCCCGAAGACGCGACCCAGTAGTACTGCTGGAACGCCAGGCCAGGTCCTGATGGAAGAGTGGATATCTACGCAGGTGCAGCCAGACTTGGAAGACGAGTGAGCAAACAGCCGAGATGTGCCGGAGTAGAACCGGTAATAATATACGGAGTACATGACACGCAGCACAGCGTGCTGGCCAGCCTCCTGTCCTCGGTGTTTGAGGCAAACCCCAGTTGAACCTTAAAGGTCAGCGAAGCAGCAGATGCCTTGATCTGCATATCTGAAACGATATGCTTCAGATGCGCCATGTGACCGGATGCCATATACGTCATCCGAGTCAAGCTCTGCACGAGCCGGAGAGCCGGACTGTTGGAACAGACCGATGCGGTAACCCTTGGTATGCTATCGCATGCCATCAACATAGCATTCATGATTGGTTGGCATATGTAGAGAGACTCAACGTGTCTCGTGACAGAATACCCAGCAAGCATTGCTATACGAAGTACGATACAGAGAATCCTGTGACCTGGCAGATGATAACTATCACAATGAAAAAAAATTAAAAAAAAAGGGTTACCAGAAAAAGCCGATCATAATGAAAGATAAGCTTGGTTTTGAGAAGAATCTTCAGATGATCCAATCTCATAATTCCTATTACTATTACTCCGTAGCATGCCTCCCTCCGTCTTCCGTAAATTGCCGAAATTACCATCAAACAAGCAAACAACCATTTCAAACGCTAGTAATAATGACCTGAAATACCTGACTCGTTCAAGAATAATAATAATAATAATTTTTTTTAAAAAAAAAAGAAAAAAAACTCACGACCATACGTATATGTACGGAGGACTCTACGGAATACGGAGTTTGTTGTTTTTTTCCCTTCCCCCTTTGTTGTGTCACGTGCGGCTCCTCGTGCAGGCTGCAGGAACGGGAACGGGAACGGAACGAGCGGTAAGTTAAGTTTCTTGTTTCTCCACGTGGCGGATCAGGTACAACCGTAGAAAGGAAAAAGAACTTGCTTCAAGGAAAGGAAAGAAACTGCGGAAACTGTAACCGGGAATAATAATATTAATATGTGGATCCTGACCGGTAATTGCATTGGCTTGGGGCTGGCTGGCCAGCCTGGTCTTTGTTTGGTTTGCCCTTTACCTGCTAACGGAGTAGTCATAAGCTTGTTTGTTCTGTTTTTTTTTTTCTTTTCACCTTCTAGAACTTCCTTCTTTCGATCGAATGGACGAAACAGGACACAAAACAGGGATGGATTGTTTGCATTGTGAGATACTCCGTAAAATAGTAATAATTATCATTATTATTATTGTATTGCTTAATCCAATCACGATCAACCCTTCCTTCCAATCTGTAGCTGAAATTCTTCCTGCAGTACGGAGTACTCCGTAAGGATCCCTGATCCGATTCCCAGGGGTTAGTTAGCTTGGTCAAGGAACATTCCATGAAATTTCGATCTCCACTCAATTAATTTTTATTTGCTTGTTCCTGACCCATAATACACTCCTACGGAGTAGTTTGGAAAAAAAAATCAAAAAAAAAGGGGGGTTCCGGTTCCCAACGGTTGGAAGGAAGCTAAAATTCTACCTACTCCGTACTCCGTAAGTGTTGACGTCATGATGGAGACGAGTTAATACGGAGTATACGGAGTAGAGTAGGGGCCTCCGTTCGTATTTATTAGTTTTTCGTACAGTACTGATACGAAAGCTGAACTGAAGCTAAGATTACGATGAAGATCAAGTGAGAATAGGCCAAAGCTATCATGTAAGAATCCTGCTGCTTTAAGAAGATCTTTATTTTGCTACCATCCCAGTCTGCTCTATCAGCTCCTTTTTTCAACCATCACTGCCAGCGTACAGAATCCGGCAGATACAATCATACAACCGTAATCTACGGAGGTATTCTCCGTACAACGGTATGCTCCAGTGGGCTACCGTTCGTTCCGTGTGGAACCGGCTCCATCTCAACAGTTCTTCTCGTGCGGCTGGAATATAGCCTGCGCCACAAGGCCGGTTCTCACCCACAGACCGGGCAGGCTTCGAGAAGAATTGCTGAGCTTCCATGGCAAACCCACCAGCGTATGACTCAGGGCCAGGACCATCGTTCGTATCCAGGCTGCCAGGCTCCAGCGCTCATTAGCGTCAGGTCTGACCGGTCTGGGCTTAGTTTGCAGAAGCTGAAGAAAGGGGCAGCCAGCACTGCCGAGTCTTGGCTGGGCTATTGGCTAGGCTGAGTGCTAGCCACACCGGCAGCCAATTGGGATGCGGTCACGGGACGGCTGAGCCTGAGGCTGAGCGAGCAGCAGAACAGAGTACGGAGTAATACGGAGTACTCTAGAATGGACAGGCAAACAGGAGGACTCTACCAGGTAGGAATTTACTGCAAAGGAATTCCGTAGTTAAGTTCTTAGCATGCTGCAATCCTACTACGTAGTGAGAAGGCTTGTCAGCTGTCCTGTTGTTGGCAACTCATATCATGTGACAGCATCCGTTCTCTTCAGCAGCACAAGTTACAAGCTTACAACTACTCTCGCTCCTTGGCGTCATATTCTTGCTGGAAAGCAACGGGCCGTGCGCCCTCCACACGCCGTCCCAACACTCGCACATCATGCGCTGCTCCCCTGCCCCTGGCATCCCTGTCGTCCGACAAAGGATGATGACGCTGCAGGCCGCTCGGGATATGCGCCATCCACTCAGAAGGAGGCCACATCCTTGCCTCATTGTCTGGCCGTGCAACATGCCGTCAGCAGGAATGCCCTGATGGTGTGCTGAATGGAGAGCGGTAGCGAGTTCCGAGCCGAGGTCCTCCGCCGTATCTACCAGTGTACCTACTCTGTACAGGCTACAGGTATGACCAAGAATATTCTGTACCGACAAAAGCGGCGCCAAGCTAAGACAAACAGAACGGGCGGCTCGGGACAGCTTGCAAGGATTTTTCCCTGGAATCTCCGTTGCATTGACGCCGTTCGCCATTGGCCCGCAGCCGGCGTATCGCGCGGGTGGACTCAGCGTCACAGTAAGGCTGGAGCTAATACGTCACGACTTGTAAGTATCGTCCCGTGGCCTTCCACCGTGTGGAGAATGGCGTTAGCATGGAGCACAAGGCTGTTTGCCCTGGGTTCAGGGCATTTTCGTGTTCAGTGCTCCAGCAGGTATGATAGCAGGTTATAAATACCTGGTGTGCTCCGTCCGAAGTCAGTTACTTTGCTCTGACAATCGTTTCAGTTCTCAGTGTTAGCTCTCAATCGACTCGAGGAATATCTCTCAGCCCCTATCTCTACAGCGTCGAGTCTTGACATCGAACCTTACAGCTCTACCGCTGCGACATCCGACAAGATGCCTTCCACGAACAACTCCTCCCAGTTCCCTCCCTGCCCTGGTCCTCCTCCCAAGGGCCCTCTCCCTCCGCTCCCGAAATAAGCAGGAGAACAACAACAATGGACCGGTTTCCTTCGAGCCGTGACACTGGATCGTGTCTGGCAACGGCCGTAGGGAGTATTACGCGGCTGGCTTGCGTATCTCTCAAGGCCTCAACGTCTACGTCTTGCCATGAAACCGTCAAGTAGCGAGCTGTCTGCGGACACGCTAGCAGCTGACGCATGTCCGGATTTTCGTTTGTCTTGCGTACGACGACTTCGACTTGGGTTGATCGCTATATTTTTTTTTAATTCTTCCCATGATATCATAATATCGGATTAGCTCTGCATTGGGTGGAGCAGCTCTGCATCTGCCTGGGTCTTGGTGTTGGTACTCTGGTCCTCTCCGGTCTATTCACGATCGACTCCCTTCAACCCATCACGTGGAAGCGGCGATACCATTCCGATAATTATGCCATCAGAAACGGATCGGGGGGCTATCTTTTGGAGGCATTGTCTTTCTTGGGCGCAATCTTGGTTACTGGAGTACGGAGTATGGAGGTGTTGCTCTCATCAGCCTCGTGACTTGGGCCTTGGCGCAGCGTCGTCATTCGACTGGGCCAATGAGACGTCGCCATTCCCCGACTAGCAGTCGCATCGTCGTTTCTGTCAACTCGCATCCTGGACAGCGACGCCATCGACAGCCTCGCGATGGCGATGCTCATTGGCGGGTGTGCACGGCCTGAGGTCGTTGCTCGTGTTTGCCGGTAGCACCTGATCTTACCAGCGATTCTCCCCGCTGTCTTGTCAGGCCACACAGATCTCATCCGGTCTGCTATCTGCCACCCCACGTGTTGCAACTTGCAGTGGCCTGCCTGTATGGAGGACTTTACTTCCCCTCCTGCAGCCGCCCGGGTGGATCCTCTCACGGCGCGTTCTTTTGTTTGGCGTTACAGATAATGTCTTACATTTAATCTTGCATTGCCGTTGCTGCCCAGGGTGGTGCAGCCACACCTTTTCTTTGTCATGTCATCTCATGTCTGGTCTGGTCTGGTCTCTTATCTATGATTTAATGCGGTGTAATTTAATACTCGTCATACTCGTCATACCTAATCTAGCATATACCCAATCTGATCGATCAGTTGACCGAATAATGAGCATTGCAAGAGAAATAGCTTTATTATAGTTCAATAGTCATGTCATATTCCTTTTTTTTTTCTTCGTTATTTTATTAATTAATTTATTGATTATTAAGTGCTTATCATATCTGCAAAGCATCGATCGATGCCGAAGTTCCTCGTATGAGCAAAGCAGGCAGGGAGGGGTCGATTGCTCTGCATTTCTATTTAGCCGATGATGTATCGCCTGGCGTGTCGACCCTGGTCAGTTCCCTAGCTACAGCCTACAAGCCAATCAATCAAGTCTGTTGCTCCCGTAATTACCTCATACCTAGCCCTGCCTAGCCTAGGATTAGTCAACTAACATGGGTTCTGTATGGAGGACTCAATTTAGTTAGTGATGAGTGAGTCATGGACCTTGCAGGAGGGAGTAGGTCCTATGCGCAGAATAGCAATGCAATAGCAATGTAATAGCTAGAATAGATGATGTGATCTATGACACGACGTTCAAGTCTTGGACAGAGATGACACCATCTACTTACTATCTAACACCTTCCAATTTCCAACTTCCAGCAAAAGCAACAGTAAGTAACAATGCTACCTAGCTAGCTAGCTAGCTAGCTACTAACCTAGGTAATAGATAGATAGATGGTCAGGTCATCTGACTCAAGTACAATAATAATAATACCTCATAGTTAGTACTCTGTAGTACCAGCACCAGTTGTGCCAATTGGTAGTACCCCGCGGATGGGATGGGCTAGGACGAAGCGGCACGGGACGAGAGAGCACAGACAGGATATGCTGCGACAGACAGGGGTTTGTTAGCACATCCGGTGATCCGGATCAGTGGGAATTACATCAATCACATCACCTGGGAAGGGAACAGACTCAGTTGGCTTATATTTATCTATCTAGCTAGCTAGCTACGTATTTATCGAAGGTTGATAAGGAATTATACAAGAGTACTGTACAGTACATTATCATCTGATAACAAGTGTAGATATGATATAATACCTAAGGTAGGGAGCTGACTGTATATACTTCCTAGGTAAATACGTAGCTTAGCTACATGTCAATATATACCTAGTTGAGTATGATGGTATGCATGTAGCTGACCAGGTAGCTAATTAGCTACATACTTTCAGTAGACTGGCTAGCCATCTATCTATCTGTACTATCTGTACTATTTGTACTGTACTGTCTTTTTCTGGTTTGACATCATTTACATACTCCTGCTTAGTACAGAGTCTGTATGTATTCTATACTTGTTCTCGCTGATTTTATTTTTATTTTTATTTCTTTCTTTACTTATGTCCTGACATAGTGTAGTATAGTTAGAGCTTCTGATGCTAGCTCCCTTCATACATACATATATACCTATGTTGCACGGCACTTACTAGGTAGGTATGTAGGTACTAAGGTAGGTGCATTATTATTATGCATATCATGACTCAAGTACCTTGCTTACTGACGTTCCTTCTACTTTTCTGCCGAGCACAATCTACACACTGTACTATATTGTACAGATACCCTCAATTGCCCTCTGTACCTTCTAGCCGTGATGATGGCCGTATGACCATTGCGACTCAAGTGATTAGTGTAAGTATCTCGCAGTGTCCAGTCTATACGGAGTCCTGTTCTGTACATATTTCTCTATTATTAGTAATGTCCTCAGTCTCTAAATAGGTACAGTACTATACTATAGCCTTTTTCATTGCTATTTCAAGGCTCTCGAGTTGTGGAGTTCCTTCAATTTCTGTGGATGGTTGTTTCTTATTCGTTTATTTCCTTCTGTATTATATTGTGTTGCACTGCATGGTAGGTAGTCTCTGTATTAATAATCTGAAGTATCTGGTTGATGTCGCGGTTATCATTGTCATTATTTAGTGTTGACCTGTTGTAGCTATCTTGCTGGATTTTGTTATCTTTTTTCTTTCTTTGATTGGCGGTAGCCTTTTTCTTTTCTTTTCTTTTCTTTTTTCTTTCTTTCTTTCTTTTTTTTTTGGAACCTTGTTTGTGTAATTCCCTTAAGGCTCCTCCTATCTCGTGGCAGATAGATCTACTATCTGTCCAAGAAATAAAAGGCAAAGGAAATTCTCTCAAAGCTACAATCTGTTCTAATGAACGTCTCCGCAGCATTCCAATAGATACTTAATGAAATTCGATGATTCTAATAATCCTGAAGTGTGAGAACTGTCGCAAATTGATGAATTTACACGAAAAAGCCGCACAAGCAGAAAAATGAATCTTAAATATTACATTTGTCGACGACTCACGCAAAACATCTGTACTCCTGAGCACCGACTTCCAACACTTTCCTCTTCTGCGTCTCCCTAACTGGGCCATTCTCCTCATCTGTCAGACACCGCTTGCCGTATTTCTTCTTACCGAGGAATTCACGAAACTGGTTCGCCGTCTCAGACGAAATCGCTCGCACATCCTCGCCCTTGTCTGCTACGACATCTCTCAGGCACTCCATGACCGGACGCAACAGGATTCCTCCTTGTAATGCACGATACACCCTGCTGGTATACGTCCCCAGCATCGTGCCCGCTTTGGCGCCTTTGAACATGGGGATGGTGATGATGTTGGTCGAGGGCGCTGGCGCTTTCTCGGCCCGGATGAATGGCACTTCTAGCTCTTCTCGCACACTGCGGTATATCCGACGCGATGCGGCGCCTAGGAGAGGCAGTGTGTCAGAGACGCTATGTCCGTTCAATGTCTCGTTGAAAGTGTTAACCGCTTCTGTCGCGGTGCTTTCTGCCCACAGCTTGAGTTCCTCGTGGAAGCCTGCGTCATGAACGTCGTTTTTGCTGCTGGCAGACGCGTGCAGCGTTGCCATTACCGCCTTCATTCGAGGAGACAGGTCCATATTCGAAAGCCGGCCAAACTCGGACCGGAATTGGCGCCACAGACTCACTTGAACGGATTCTGCCTGCTGCGCATCAAGCCACGATTTCATCCACTGCGAGGTCTTTCTCGCGAAAACAGGCTCGAAAGCAGCGAAGAAGCGATGCTGGACTGCACGCAGGTCCAGCGCCTGACACAACGCCACCAACGAAGTGGCACACAGCTGCACAAACACGTCCAGCGCCGCGTGGGTGTATCTTGCAGAAATCAGCGCCAGAGAGTTCAGCGACTGGTTTCCTTGCTCGGCGACCATGACGAACGGCACGACGCTGTGCGACAGGAATGCCAGTTCGGACTGGTATGCCGCGGCAGCGATGTCCATGCCCTTCATCAAAAAGTCACAGCTGGGCTCGTCCGCTGTCAGATTGGGTGGAAGACCGTTGTTCGTGGCGGGGTTCATCAGCTCCGTGAGCTGCTGGAAGAGCATGCGGCCCAGCGTCTGCAGCGCGGATCGCGTCTTGTCCATGGCGGACGTGATTGCCATGGCCTGGAAATTGCCTCCGTGGATGACTTTGGCGCCAGGCTCGACGACGAGGGGGTTGTCTGTGATGGAATTGCATTCGGTCACGACTTGCCGGTGGGCGACGACGAGAGCCTCGAGTTCAGGGCCCATCCACTGCGCAGCCGTTCGAAGGGCATAACGGTCCTGACGAAGGCCTTGATAGCTTTCACCATCAGCCTTGCGGACCAGTTTGGAGTCCCTGAGGAAGTGACGGATATTCCGCGCCGCCTCCGTCTGGCCCGGGTGTGGACGGACTTGGGCGAAATGGTAATCGAAGCTCTCGTCAGTGCCATTAAGCCCTTCGACGGCCATTGCGGTCAGAACTTGAGCGAGGACGGCGAGGTGGTGTGCGTCCTGCATCGCCAGGGCCGCGACACCAGCCGAAAAGGACGTGCCATTGACCAAAGCAATGCCCTCTTTGGGCGCGAACTGAACGGGGGGGATATTCGCTTCTTTAAGAGCAACATCGGCATTGACGATCTTTTCTCCATAGCAGACCTTGATTCCAGGGTTGCCTTGCAACGCGCCAGCGAGATAAGACAGCGGGCTCAGATCTCCTGACGCGGAAATGCTCCCTCGCAGAGGCACCTGGGGGACCACATTCTTTTGGAGAAGTCGGACAAAGCTGTCGAGCAGCTCGACCCGGACGCCGGAATTCCCTCTAGCCAGAGAGTTGCTGCGTACGAGATGGGCGGCCTTGACCCAAGGAATTGGCATGGTGGTATTTCCTCTGTTCTGGCCGGTCGGTGCACATAGCGGGTCAGTCGAGGATTCGTCCGCAGTGCTGTCGTCGATGATGCCGCAATTCAGAATCCGGATGATGGCCTGCTGCAAGTCCTCGACGGCGTTTGTGCGCGTGTCCGCGCTGCCTCCGACGCCGGTATTGACGGCTGATACGTCAGTACATCGATACAGACAATCGATACAATACATGTGCAGTACATACCGTAAATACTATCACCAGCATCCAATTTCGCAAGCAAGTCTCTCGCGCTCTTCTCCACGCGCGGTAAGCAGTCTTTAGAAAGCAGGACATGGGCATTGTATCTACAAGTCAGTCCGCAGTCAGTACTTGTCAGACTAGCTGTCTTGAACTCGTACCGTGCAACAGCAACAACGCTCGCCAGATCGAGAGAAGTCCCATCAATCACGACGGGAGAGGTCTGGGGGGCGGCAATCGCCGCGAGGAATTTATCCCAGTTGGAGAGAACGATTGAGGTGTGGGAAGTCATGCTGCAATGCCTCGAAAGAAATAATTGAAGTAGAATTTCAATCGATCTGAAGAGGAATGATATTGATCAGAGGTGAAGACAGCAAGCTTAGCTGTAAGCCTAATCATGAAGCAAGAGAAAGAAGACAACACAATTGACGATAAATCAAGAGAGAACCTCCTTCAAGTCTCCAACCACAATTATATACCCAAAGATCAAGCAATCAATAACATAGACCTGACATACACATTACATTCGAAGTCATTCATATTCGGAGTCATACATAAGCCTCACTGCACGGCATCCATTCAGTCATTTCATTTTTCTTTGTGATTGCCTGTTTTGTAGTTTGTGGCACGGCTGCTTGCATGTACAATATGGCTGGTCATACAGTATTATATTGGCTGGATATGGAGTAACAGGTGGCTTATAAGGGCTCATTTTTCTGCTGACCCCAATATCTAGATGTTCATCCATTCATTAATTCATTTATTCATTACCAAAAAGAGTATGTACAGTACATAACATACATGACATTTAGTACACACATAGCTACAATCAGATTTCCAAAGGAAAATGAACGTATGTATACTCGTCACCAATTTTATTATTTGATTATTTGATTGATTTTCATTCATTCATGGAAATTATATCTCGGAAATCCTCGTTCCACTCCAAAGAAACAAATGCCAGAAGCCGTCGATTATTCGACGCCATTATTATTATTATGGAGTACGGAGTAGGTATTCTTGCTTCCATCCGTGTATGTCCGTAAGTCCGTCTTTCTTGTTATTCCTCTTCTAGAATTCTGCATACAGATATTGCATACTGTACAGCAGCATCGGCTGTCTATTGACCAGTGGAGATATATCCTGTTTCTGTCTTCTTCCTTCTGTCTTCGATAGCAGACGATTCCTTGACGTGTGTACTGTATGTACTGTACTGTATACACATGCATGCGGACATGCGGACATGAAGAGATACCTAAGGAGGTAATTCAAGGTTTAGTTAGTAAATCAGTCATTTCGAATATCCTCATTGGAGGGTACATACCTACATTATTACCTAACTAGCCAGTGGCCCAGTGCAGAGTAGGGCAGTGCAGGAGGACCTGCAGGCTGCAGCATCCCGGACCTAATATAACCCTAATCTGTACATGTACAGTACAAAGATTATGTACTTCCTGCAGACGCCATGGCTGTAATAATTACTGCAGGAATGAGTGAATCTGGAGTACTGTATGTACATGTGTATTGTACATACATATCTACATAGGGACTTTGCAGCAACAGCGACAATAACCCCTTCTTTTATTTCGGAGTACAGAGTAGACAACGCCATGTGGGTAAGCTAGTACTGCACGTGCACAGGCACATACATTCTGGGGATATGCAGCAGCAGTAGCAGCAGTAGTAATGTGTACATATGTAGGTACCTGCATACCTACACAGTCAGCCACCCGAATAGATACATACTGCACTGTACTGTAATATGTACTGTCCAATACTTGTCATTAATTAGCATGAATTAATTAGCATTAGCATTATTAGAAAAACAAAGAAAGATATACAACGTCGAATCAATTTAGTTCCACACACACACACTGTTTTTACTCAGCAGAATTATTGAATTTATTGAATTTGTTGAATTATGTCCAATCAAGGAAAGAAATCCGGAACAAAACAGCGCAGCTGCACAGTTCTTTTTTCTTTCTTCTCTCTTTCCCCTTTTCTTTTCTTTTCTTTTTTTTCCTTTTTTTTTCTCTTCTTTTTTTCTTGTTGAACAAGCAAAGTTATTTTTTTTAATTAAAATTTTAGGTAATTAAGGCGCCTCATGCTTATGCTAAGTTATGCTCATGCTTATGCAGCAACTTCCAAATCGGACTTTTCCTGCATATATACACATGCACATCTACATATGGATCTGTATCTGTGCAGGGGATTTTTCTTTCTTTCTTTCTTTTTTTTTAAACAAAATGGCATGTGACATTGTTCTTGTTTACTTATTGCTTTCTTGCTTGCTCACTTGGAATTAATAACCCTGTTCCAGACGGGAGAAGCTCGGAATTACTGTACCTGCCTACCTACCTAATGCAAGACAACAGTTAGGGTTGCTTACTATTAGTCCAGACTCTACTTACTTCCTGGACTGTGTTATACGCAATTTGCATGGATGCTAGTATTGTCTGTATGTATCTACGATTCTATCTTATCTGATATATGATTGAATTTCTACAGGAATCATCATGCTTCTGTAAAAACTATTCCAAGCTAATACTATTTATTTATACGTATCTATCTACCTGCAACCTTCTCCACCTCCTCGACAACCGCCTGCGGAATCCCCTCTCCCGCAACCGCCTTCAGGTCGCTCTCTCCCATCTTGCCCTCCCATCCGTTGGCAACCAGATACGCCCGGAACCGCTCGTCGCGGAACTTGAGATCCTCGCCCGTCAGGTCGGGCACGAAGAAATACGTCACCAGGATGCCGACCACCCCGCAGATGGCGGCGATGATGAACGTCCATCTCTTGCCCAGATTGTTCTCGATCGGAGTGAACGCTTCAGTGCCCACTGCGGCGCCCACCTTGCCTATCGCCGCAGACAGACCGTAACACGTCCCGCGCACCGCCGTGGCGTAGGATTCCGACGACAGCAGTCCCAGCATGTCGCCCGGTCCCAGGTTGCCGGAACTCTGCATGAGGCCGTAAAAGACGACGAACAGGGGCATGATGTTTGTGATCTTGTCGTACGCACAGCCGATGATCAGCCCAAAGATCAAATACCCCGAAAACCCCAGCATCATCGTGTTCTTCCGCCCGATCCGGTCACACAGCCATGCGCCGATCAGCACGCCCGGCAGAGCGATGGCGCCTAGCAGGAGCTGCCACTCGGCCGTCTTGCGAATCGACCCGTCCTTGCCCACGATGGAGGAGATGATGGTTCCGGAGAAGACGCCGTTGGGGAAGGTCACAAAGTCTGCGACGTCAGCCACGCTGCTGCTGCTGCGACAAAAAAAAAAAGAAAAGAAAAGAAAAAAGGAAAAAAAAAGAAAAAAAAAAGAAAAAGACCTACCATACAAAAACCAAGCGCCACAAGTCCCGATAAGCGTTTTCCAGTAGTACTTGATAACGAGTCGATAAGGCACCTTCCTCTTGATGGCGCCGCGCCGGTACAGCACCGAGTTGAGCATGCGGATCCGGAAGTAGAAGACGGTCAACGGCCAGATACAGCCGATGCCGAAACACACACGCCAGACGGTGCTGAGATGCGACTGCTGGCAGGCCATGTAGACGATCAGAAAGACGGAGACGGCAAACGGCCCGCCAAACGACAGCGGCAGGTTGGTGACGAGGATGAAATACGGGCCGCGACGGTCGAGGGTCAACTCGTTGGCGGCCTCGGACGCCGATGTCGACGAGGCGGGATATTCACCGCCAGTGCCTGCGCGAGTCAGCAGATTCGAATAAAAGGCAGCAGTTAGATGCGAATAAAATAAAGGGGCAGTGGTACTCACCAAACCCCACGATGCCACGGGCGATGGTCAGCATCCAGAACATGCCATTGATCGTCGTCCCATGAGCGGCGGTGGCCAGAATCCCGCCGACAACGATCATGAGCGTCGTGAGGACGATGGCCCATTTCCGACCCAGGTAGTCGCACGTCAGGCTGCAAGCATAATTAGCAGCGCGACTTTGCGTACGAAGGGCGCACCCCACCCAATGACGACCTGCCCAAGCACCTCGCCCACCAGCAGGGCGTTGGACACGCGCGTGCTGACGGCAGAGGTGTACTCTGCGTGGTATTCCTTGCCAAACAGGACGTTGGTCATGGTCCTACGCGGTCAGATGGCTGTCACCTGTCACTCGAGGGATTGGTGCGCATACATCAGATTGTTCTGGTAGCCATCGGAGATCAACGCGAAGCCGGCTGCAAACTACTCAGTGTTAACTCCGCCATACTCATAAAATGCTGACACAGCACTCACGATGGTGAACAAGTCCGACAAGCTCTGACGGCTCTTGGACACTGTCCCCGACGGACCAGCATCGTCGTCAGCCTGGACAGGGACGACGTCCGCTGGAGGAGTGGCGTCTGCCACCACCTCGATCTTGGAGTCAGGCTGGACGGACATATCCAGCAAGCCAGTGTATGTACTAACTGCGAAGAGTAGCAAGCAAAGAAGACTATGTACTGGGGCCAGGCTCTTTAAATCGCGAGCCTGTGCCGTAGTCTTTAGCAGTCTTTTTAATTTTGACGGCTGCCAGATCGATTAACTTAGATGCAGACTAGCCAACGTCGCATCGCGTGTCCCTGGCCCAGACTAGGAAAGTATAAGCAGGCAAACTCAAAAGGACGCACGCCAAGCACGGCTCCCCAGGCTGCAGAAGCTTCAAGCGCTGGATCATCGCATGACTGTTCTTAGCTTGGATGCCATTCGTATTGAATCGTATTTTCTGGTCTTGCTGTCCTTTTGCTTTTCTGGCTGTTCTTTTTCGGCCCCCAGCTGAAGCAAAGCAGGCTGGTCCAGCTTGGTTGACGGCGTCTCCAGCCCAATTCCCCCCGCATCAGAGCTGTCTTTTCTGGCCTGGCCAATCACAGCGCTGCATCCACAGCACGTTTTGACAGCGCCCGCTGTCATTGATTTCTTTTATTTTATTGATCTGGGGGAGTCACATCGACAGGTAGGCGAGTATTCAAGCTTTGTGGCTTCGACGAGCCCGTTCGGATGTGTTCCGAAGAAGACATTCTACTGTACGCCGTAGGCCAGGTATGAGGTATTGCTTTGAGCACGTGACATGGATAGTCACGAGTCTTACTACTGCACATAGAATGAATGAAAACAAGAGCATGCTCTCATCATCATCAATCAATTGTCATATCTAGCAAGGTAGGGCGTAAAGCAAACATATAAGCACATCACATGCGCCAGCTAACTTCAGCCGTATAGTATTAAAAAAAAGAAAAAGAAACTTTCCCAAATACTCTGTATAAGGACCTCCCTCCCAATGCAAAAAGGTCGTTACACATACAATCATCATCCCAGAAACTCCTATCATGCCCATTTCCCCAACAGCGCCATCAGCCCCGCCCCCAGACACAGCAGCACAAACGCCGCCAGCACCGTCCGGAGCGGTGCCCGGCGCATCGCCGTGCTGAACATGAACTCGTGCGCCATCAGCTCGACTAGCGCCGTGTAGATGAGAATCCCCGCCGAAATCGAATCAAACACCCCGTTGACGATCAGCGTCGTGCGCCCCGTCGGCGGGTACGCGTAGCGCACGCCCAGCCCGATCGCAATGGCTATCGGTGTCGACAGCGCGTACCCCAGCCCCAACACGTACGGCGTCCACCGCTTCGTCCGCGGCCACGGGATCGTCGCCAGTCGCGATCCCAGACCGAGCCCCTCGAAGGTCTGGTGGAACACGAGCACGACGTAGAGCGTCGTGAACTCCTCGCCCGTGACCGCCAGCGTCAGCCCGATGAAAACCGAATGGAAGATGATGCCGAACTCGAGGATGAAGATGGCCGTCAGTTGCGCCGCATAGTCCTCGAGCGACGTGCCCCCGGTCTTGGCCAGCTCCGCGTCGCGGTGCTCCCGAGAGTGGCCCAGATGATCGTCGCCAGGGACGTGGGAGTTGGCTTGCTCGATGGCATCGTCCTTGTAGGCTCCGTCGCTTGCCCCGACCGCGTCCAGATGGTGGTGTTCCTCCGACTCCTCACCGTGGTCGTGGCCGTGGCCTGTCCCAAACCGGGAATATCGCATGACCATGAGCTCGACAAAGAACATCACGACGACGGTCATCAGGATGATACCCTCCACCCAGCTGTATTCCGTGATGGGCCCCGTCAGACACGGGTTCGTGAGCGCCTCTTCGGCGGGAGCCAGCAGGTGGATGAAAGCGGTAGCAATGATGACGCCCGAGCCAAAGTACTTCGCAATGAAAAAGGCCCAGGGCGGAATCCCGGAGCCACCCATGCGCCGGGCCAGCACGGGGAAGACGGCGCCGAACAGGGAGCCGACCAGGATGACAAAGATGGAGGAGATGCGCAGGCCCATGCGGCCGTCGTACTCGTTGCCCGTGTCACACGGCGGAGGAGCACTGCCGGCGCCCCCGTCTCGCGGGACGAGCACAGAAAGCATGTCGTCCATTTTGGCAACGACAGGGATCTGCCTGGCGATCGAAGAGATCGATCGTGGAGCGCTCTAGCAGACTTAATAAGGGCTCTACGCAGTCCCCGCCGATTCGACTCAGCCGTCACACTGCGGTAAAATTCCAATCCTTCCCCAGATGCAAGGGGTTCGTGAAAATCCTCAGTCGTGACGTCACGTGGGAGGCCCTGGACTAGGCCCAGGTGCTCGTGAGGCTCAGAACAAGAGGACCAATCGCACGCCTCACGGGTTCACCGCGAATTCAGTGACGTCCAGACACAACGGCAGAAGAGATGGCGGGTGGGAGAAGCAGGTGCTTGTCGCGGGCCAGCGGCCATGCCTGCAGCAAGGGAGTTGAGCAGGAGTTGAATGTTTTCATTTCGTGGTGCAGGATTAATACGGAGGGGCTTTGAGGACCTTGGAGGTCGGTTGCGCCTGCCGAGTACCTTGCGGACGCCGCCCGATCGCGAATCGCCCGCCGCTGATTGGCCGAGCCATTGCCGAGACTCAGCGGATCGCCCTCCTAGCCCGAACAGGAATGGCTCCCACAGCACGTTAGGCTGTTTCGGGACTAGCGGCTTGGCTGTCATCGCGTTTCTTTTCCGCGGCAGGCGCAGCATCACGTGCATGCCAAACATTATGTAAGCAACCCCAGCAGAAGACAAGCTGAGCTGCAGGAGATGAAGGGTATTAAATGATGAACAGATGCGAAAGAACAGCTTATCTGACCAAACACGCGTAGAGGAGGATATCGTCAAAAACACTCAGACTCAGCTCTGGCCCCGATTCCAGCGAAATAACCAAGTAGCAACCCGTGACTCGTATCCGCATAATTCTGCAGTAAGGTGGCTAGGTAGAGTACATAGGTATCTTCAATTGCAGCTAGGAGAAGCTATCGATATAATTCAAGCTGATTATGAAGTAATATGAATAAATGAATTGTCGCCGGTCAGGTGATGATCCTATCTTCGATCCCGCTGACATAGGAACCGCTGTCGTTATTGGCTGGACTGCAGAATGGCCAACACAGCATCTACAGGCGGAGAGGGATACAGGTAGAACACGCAAATTCAACGAATGAAGATCGCTATGTCTACAGACAGATGGATTCTATATGATATCGCTAATAGTACAGTACGCTAAACTCTAAACGCCACGCGAGTCGAAATACCAATAAAGAAAGAACATGGAACATACTGCTCCGCAGAGCAGTAAAGAATGAGACAGAAGAAGAGAAGATCAGAGGAAGATTAATGTCGGCCTACAACGCCGACAAAATGTCCTCTGCACTGCCAATATCCCCATCGAAATCGAGGACAGAACCGTCATCATCCTCTTCTAGCTCCTCCACTTCCTCTGGGAACCCCTCTACCGGTCCCATGGAAAGCAACCCAACATGGAACAAATACCCAAAGAGGGCAGCAACGCTGGCCGCGACCGTCGCCACCGATACATACACGTCCCGCTTCCGCGCGATAGCAAATTCAGAAACCGCTTTGCTCTCCTCCGGACTCAGCTGCGAATCGGGGGACTGGGCGGCCTCCCGTAATCGATCATGCAGGCGAAGATCCTTCAAGATAGGAGTCGCGTCCGCGAGGGCATTGAGGAGTGTGCGCCCGATCTTGGCTGCCGTTATCCTCTTCGGTGGTCTCCACGGTAGCACCGACTCCCTCCGAGCCGCACCAAAGGCATCGGACACCTGAACCACACCAAAGCATCGTTGGCGCATCCTCTCAACATACTGGGCAAGCTCCGGTGCCTTGGTCCGCAAAGACTCTCGCAGCCAAGGATAGGGCAGCTCGGGCACCAGCGCCAAGGACAGATATCCCAGAGCAAGAGCATCCAGGCTGGACGGGCGCTCATTGGAAAGGAAATACTTCTTGTTGTCGAGCAGCAGCCGCAGCGGCTCGAACAACTCGGCAGTCAGGGCTTCCAGCTTGAACTGATTTTGCTGCGACGTCTTGCCTAGCAGACTCGACACGGTCTCTCGCGGTCTCTGGATCAGATTCCGAGGCAGCTGGCCTGCCGCGACGGCCGCAGATCGCTCGCGCTCCCTCTGCTCCTCAATCTCCTCCAGATCGAGCGACGAGAGCCCCAGATGCTCCGTCCGGACTTTGGCCGCCTTGCGCAGCTTTGGCGGGATGATCCACTGATTCGGCCATGTTAGGATGGCGCCGTAGGCAGGCGACGTGCCCGCGTAGTAGTTCTGGCTCGAGACGTAGAGGTACAGATCGACGAGGAGTTGGCCGTTGGCTTCGGTGAAGGAAGAGAATCTGCAGCAATACAGCGATCAGTAACTTGACACCTATCACTCGGGTTCTTCTACGCACGCTGTGTTATCCGCCTTCTCCTGCTCGTCCCAATGCGCGTCCAGATCCCACTCGCCGTTCGAGTATTGCCGGAGATAATCAACGATGTTCCGGAATTTGGAAACCCACGTCGACCCATTCTTCAGCGCGGGCAACTCATCTGGCGGACCGAGTCAATGACTGTCACTTGAGCTTCGTTGGGTGCACGTACTGGTCGGCGAGATGGAAGGATCGCTGGATGCCACCAGCACCCATGCGTCCTTGGGGACGGCTTGGACGAAATAAGCGATGGTGGCCAAGCATTGCGCCTCAATGGAGGGCAATGAAAAGGCCGGGCCCCAGACATGAAGTTCCAGCACCATTGTTGCGCATGTTGTGGCGGAGGGAGGAGCCGGAGATTTGGATGCTTTTGAAATCACGTGCAGTCACTTAACCAGTTAACCTTGTTGACCCGCGCATACAATTATTAACTACCTACGGAGTATAAACACAAGTTTGGGATATTGCATTTTCAACGAGATTATACAATTTAGACAGACTATTTACAAGTCTGATCATTTTATAAATACATGTAGCTAGTAAGGATGAATTAAAAAAGCTATCAAAAGAAAATCAGTAAATTATAGATTTTTCAGGGTCTATTCTATAGCACCCTCAGCATTATACTTACTTGCACTTTAGAAATAAATTATATACGTAGGTATAAATTTATAAGAATGCGAAAGTAACATCAGCTACTAGGTAGACAACAACTAGATGAATATAGGTTTTGGCACAATTATGTTTTACAGTTCGCATTTATAGCCAAAGCTGCAATCCTAGAGTGCATACGGATGGATCTTATTTATGTATAGTCTACTTCCACATCTTGATTCTAATATGCAGATCATTCTTTCGCGTTCAATGTTACTTACCATCTGGCCTCGTGCTTAACGGGGAACGTCGGCACCGCAACAACGGCCGGATGAAACAGCGGGGAAACTCGGCATTGACTAGGAAGAACAATAATATTTAGATGGAACAGTATTAAATATCCGGAACTAGGATTCAGAAATTCAGCGTTTATTAAATAAAGCATATATATATACGGGTGTTGAATGTCAATCTGTCTTTCCACGATCTGATCTGAATTTACCAGAAAAAAAATTGACTCGAAAAAAAAATGGCGACGAAACGTTCTCTTCACCTCCTCTTTCTCCTACTGAACAATCTTACGGCCGCTAGACCAACTACCTCTTCTTCTTCGTCGTCTTCTGCGGCGACAAAACCGTATCAGATCCGCGGCGTCGCTGATCCCATCTATCATCTGTACCTGCAGACTCTGCCGTCAGATGGTGCGTAAGCACAACAACAGACATAAATATATTATATTGATATCAAAAGCTTACATCAATCTCCTACCTACAGCATCAAAACCCGTCCTCGGACCAGAAGCCTCCGCTGAGACATACCTCATCGACTCCACCATCCAATCCACCAACACATCGGCCTATCTCAACATCAATGACGCGGACACATCGTACAAACTCCTTTCGCTAGGCGAGACATCGAATACGACGGCTTGGGGGTTGGAGGGCGATACGATCGTCACGACGGAGGGGAGTGTTTATGGAAGACGTGAGTTACGATTCGTCCTTTCCTCTGAATTAAAATAAAATGACTCGTGCTGATGATGCTTCCAGAAACGAATTTCCTCGTATGCCTACTCGATGACACCAACACGACGGATTCCACTCCGTACTACGAGATATATCTGCAGACGGGGAGTGATGTGCCCAGTGGGAAGAACTGTAGTAACTACCAGTCGCTGCATATACCGTGTTTGTGTTAGTGATTGCGTTGCAGTGATTTGTACGTGAACTGCTGAATCAAGGATAAAAAAATAACTATTGCTCTGTTTTGAGAATGTGCAGAAAGAATAAGCAAGGGGAAAATTATTGAATGGATAGGGATGATTTGCCTTTTATTTTATAGAAGTTTCGGCTTCCGTTCGTATACTTTTCTCTAATCATAAGACTAGCGTATAAAGTCCTGTCCTGTACTAAAACATAGTAAAGTTGTTAATACTCATTCAAAAGAGAATACTCTATCTCATACCGTTATTGGAAATCTCTTGATAATACTTCGTTGTGTGGGTACATTTCTCAGCCTCTATGATAATGTATGCACAGTTACTTTTTTTTTTATTTCACCCTTATGTATTGATAGCAGCTTATGGAAATAATGGCGATTCTAAATATTTACAATATAATCTAATAAATTGAGACTACATAACTACTACAGTATAATACTGCTAGCTCGATAGCATGGAATAGAAGTTTAGAAGTTTCCTCCATTAGAAAAAAGTACAATGATATGTCCAATGATAGGTATGTATATCCACCAGCATACAGAGCACTCTCTAGTAGAGACAGTATTATACTACGGAGTATACTACGAGTATGAATTCATACATGCAGTAAACTAAGCTTAATGCCAGGAACGGTCATCCCCACAGCCGCTAATTCCAAACAAGCAACTTCTCCTGAGGCCACTTTAGCTTCAGCTTGCGGAGCTCAACGTCAATTAATCGGACACAAGCAGGTCAATTCTGGGCTTGAATTAACAGGTCTCTGTATTATACCTCTTCGTTCGATCGAGTCAATTCTTTCTCCCTTCCTTCCTTCTTTTCTCGCTTCAACCCATATAGTACATACATACTACTACGAATACAACATGCGCCTCCTCACCACCATCTCCACGCTCCTGCTCGCCCTGAGCCTGAGCACCACTGCAGCCACGGCCGCCGAGCTCAAAATCGAAAAGACGCACGAGGTCGAGTGCAAGCGCAAGACGCAGAACGGCGACACCGTCCACATGCACTACCGCGGCACGCTGGCGTCTGACGGGTCGCAGTTCGACGCCAGCTATGACCGGGGCACGCCGCTGACTTTTAAGCTGGGTACTGGGAGGGTGATCAAGGGGTTAGTTTTGCAGGAAACAAAAAACGAGGGTCTGGACGTTTTGCTGACTTTTTTTTTGTGTCTGCGCAGATGGGATCGAGGACTCCTCGATATGTGCATCGGCGAGAAGCGCAAGCTTACTATTCCCCCTGAATACGGGTACGGTGATCGTGGTATTGGGCCGATTCCGGGCGGGGCGACGCTTATTTTTGAGACGGAGCTTGTGGGTATTGACGGTGTGAGTAAGGATGAGCTGTAATATAGAGACATCTGGACTTGGTGGATTTCCGATAAACGGTGGGATTGCGCATGCGCGAGTGATGCCCTCATGATAGCCCTTCGCAGAGATTTATACGTGTACTATATACATAATCTATCTATGACATGTATGATGAGGTCAAACAATCAGCACTCTATATCGGGTATCCCAATTCCGTCAGTGAACACAAAACAGCTCAACACAAATCAGGGGTATAAAAAAC